CTCCGCTATCTTGGCTCCAACTGTGCCCTCTGAGCTGTATCTGGGCGCCTATCAACCAACACCCCCAAACACGTCTAATCTCCCCATCCACGCGATCCAACCGTCAAACACTGGGTAGCGCTACCCAGCACGTCCGGCAATGTGCCAAGCAGTCGCGGTGAGCAACGTCGTGAAACAGCAGCGTTTGCGGCGACGCTAGAGCGCTGTCCATTGACCATCAGCCAAGCCGAGTTTTTGTAAATGACAATTGCCCATTCGCGACTGTTTGTTGCTCCGCTTTTGCAGAGCGTCCCAAAATTTCACTTCAAGCCACAGAAACTTAATGAATACTGGGCTGGAGCATTCAGTTACCTCAATCTTGGGTAATATAACCGACGTGACAGCTCCTAGATAGCACTTCTGGGTCTCCGAGATGCAGCGCCGAGCTGTTACCAGTTCTCTGTGTCAGCAACATTTTCCCATTTCTCTGCTCCGCAAAAATTTGTCACCACTGCTGCAACGCTATGCTAGTCGGTTAGCACAAAATGCAAAATGCTTTTTGCTCATCGAGCATTTGAAGGAAAGATAAAAGATGCTTACAGCACCTGGGATTCCCAGGCCGTCTCCGATCCAAGTACTAACCAGGCCCAACGTTGCTTAACTTGAGATCGGACGAGATGTCGTGCTTTCAACGTGGTATGGCCGTAAGCAAATTCTTCCTCCACTCACAACCTTATATAGAATTACAATTATTAAATATTAGTACAATAATTTTGTTCACTCAGAATCCGCTTACAGAACACCCCTTTTAATTCAGTCTTTTCCGTGTTTGTTGCCTCGCTTGCGCAGGGTGTTCTAAAATTTTGATCTCCAGACCAAGTAGCTGCATCGCCCGATGGCCACATCACCAAGCCAGGCAGTGAGACCGCTCGGAACGTGAAAGACCGCACAAAATTTGCTACACTTCTGTTATCGCCCGAAAAATCAACAGGCCCTCAATGACAATTGCTTGTTCACGATTGAGTAAATGTTTTGACGGACGTGGTGCGAGGAATTACGGTGTCGTTGTGACTAGGCAACGAGACAGACTTCTTGTTGATTTCGATCCGCTACGTTTGTTAGACGGACCACGCGTCCAACTGGGCGCCCTGGAATTGAATAATCAGACCCATGACGCGAATTGAATAATCCGAACCGAACCACGAAAGGGGGAAAAGGGAGCCTATATAGGGAAGCCTGTTCCTACTTCCAAGAGGAGGCGTCCCGTCATGTAATAGCTGGATACAAAAGAGCTATTAATTATCCATCTGAGAAATGTCAATACCGGCTTTTGTATTTACGCTGAATTCAGTCAAGGTATGGAGATGTGATGCAGCAGTTATGGGAAAAAATTGTCTAAAGAGAAACAAAAGAAAACTGAATAATGTTCTGTTTTTAAGAAATTCAAATAATATTTACAATTCCTTTCGCTAACGAGATCGCCTCTGGCCTCATATAAGTTTTAGACATTTACATATTTTTTTTTTAAAGTAAACTAACCAAAAAGAGTTCTGAACAACTGGAGCAAAGCCCTAAGTGCAAGTCGGCGATATTATAACTACAACAAGGAACTGTGTTTTGTGCTCCCACATCACGAGTTTTTCGGGTTAATCAGTATTTCTTGGTCGAAAACTTTTTTTGATTTTGTTTTACTGTTATTAATTATTCTGGATCACATAAGTTGTATGAGCCAAATGTTAAATGAGAAAAAAAGAAAAAAAAAATTTGGACATTTTTTTTTTTGATTATTATGCGTTTTGTGCTATGTAACAGCGTTACAAAACGCATATTGTCACGGGTTTATCTGTATGTGTGTTTGTGTGTGTGTTTGTGTGTGTGTGTGTGTGTATTTGTGTGTATTTGTGTGTTTGTCCCACATTTTGTCCCGCACTTTCAACTCGGGAACCACAAAAGCTAGGCGGCTG